ACAATTTCGTTATTTATGTAGAATTATTTATTTGTTGGTTATTTATAACTCCATTTAATTCATTATTTTAATTATATTAATAATTTTAATTTTTTTCTTCTTTGTTATGTCAACAATTATTTTTTTACAGACAAAAACATTGAAAAATCAAAGATCAACTTTAGATTATATTTAAGTATTGTTAATGAGTAAAATATCATTGATTACTACAAAACGTAGAAAATTAATTAATATTAATGAGTGCAGTAAAATAATTTTAATAAATAAGAATGATGGGTTGGATAGAAAAATCAACTCTTTGTGAAGATCTTTCCATCTCATCATTAAACGTAGAAATGTTCCTAAATAGTTATTTAAATCTTAGAATGTGACTAACTTAGTTTTAAGCAATCTAAACTTATTCGAAAATATTTCTAACGCTTCTCATATATTTGTTGGCCCTTAAAATTCAATGAAATCGGCAGATAATCCAATCAAAAATGAGAAATTCATTTGGTATTGTGTAGCACAGACAAATCAAACTAATAACAAAGATTATTAAGAAGAATATTTAATTTAAATAAAATTTCTTTCCAGCATCGCCCTCAATACTGCCTGCTCAGCAGCAGACTTCGTGGAGCCCTTTGGACCCATCACCACTCTTTCAACAACAACGTCTGTCACTGACGCCAAGCTTCCCCCCGCGATCCAGCAGTATCAGCAGTTCGAAGACAGCATCTCAACAGACTCTTCTTCCATTGGGGACGAGAAGAAAAAGCGAAAGCGAAAACTCTTCGCATTCGGGAAGAAGTCAAGTAAAACTAAAGTTAAGAATACATAATGATAGCGTGAAAAGTCTGATCGATCGTTCACTGGCGGATAAAGAAGATGTAAAATATTTAAGTAATAGTTTAGGTTGTTTGGATTCACCGAAAAGTAAGTGAAATGATCATGTTAGAAATTGTTACGGAAAACTTAAGCTTTGCTTTTAAAATTCCACAAAATTCTAATGATGAAGTGATCCTCGAAATGAATAAATTTTGTTATTTATGAAAAATGTCTTGTCAGGTTGAAAGAATGTAAAATCGCAATTGAAAGCAATATTAACTTTTATTTTCATGTTGTAAGACGGGAGCAAATGGTTGGTAAGCTGCATCAGCGTTGATTCATTCCCTGAACTCTCTTATTTTAATCCTGAAGCCTAATTAAGTTCTAAATGTGAACCTCAAATAATTAAATTAACAAACTTTTCTCGTGTTTAATCTAAGTTACTTAAAATTATTCAAATCTCGAATTCATGTTCAAAGCAAAATGTTTTAAGAAATTTTAATTATTGCCTACTTAAGTTTATTGTTTTACTGAGCTTCTTTTGATTGAAATTAAATTATTCATGATAGATATTTGTCGAAAACCATATGGATTGTTAGATAGCGAAGATAAAAATATAAAATTAAACGAAAACGATCAAAAGTTCTTCCATTAGAGTCGTGAAATTTTAGTTTAATTTTATCGTTGTCACATGAATTAAAGCAACAATCAACGGCCTAATTTGTTGATATTTCAACACGTCTCTCGATATTTATTTGGTAAATAACAAATTTCTATGCTTTTGATCGTTCTCGTCTTTTATCTCGTCGATATATTTATACTTATAAGAATGGAGAAGAAAAATTGTGATAAGAAAAGTCGCAATTTTTGTCAATGTTCAAAACAAAGCACAACATTGCGACGAATTTCTTTTTTTGAAGATTACATTGTAATTAATTTGAATAGACTAACTTGGTGAACACTTAGAAAAAGTAAGAAAAGTTCAATGAAGATCGACAGATGTAAAGAATGGAAATCGTATCAAGTACATAAATAGTTTAATTTATATTGATGATTGCTGACAAGAAATATCTTAACAAAAAATAAATAAAAGATTGAGAATAACAAATTATTTAATTATTTTATTTCATTTTTACTACCATTAGAATTAAGTTTATTCACTCAATTAACTTTAAGAATTCTTCTTTAGTCGTGATGTTAATTGAAACTTCGAAATTAATTAGTTCATTAAATTTACAAGCTCTGAACAATTCATGACGGAAAATTGTTGATAAATTAATAAAATTTCCCCGAGGTTTTCTGATTTTGTAAGCCCAAAAGTAATGAAAGCTTTTAAGTTGATAAGACTTTCTAAGAATGTAAAGAAATTGGTGAGTACTGATGCGATTTATGAACATTGTTTTCATATTTTTTAAGTTTTCAACGATTGATTCGAGGAGAAAAGTAGAAATTCTACTACTAGCAATGAAGTTAATGACTGTAAAGTTTTTTTCCAAAGACACTTTTTGTAGATCTCCAACCATCCAATTAATTTCTAAAGTTTTCAAAGTTAACAATTTCAATATTTTGTTTAAGTCATCAACATGACAATTGTCCAAATGAAGTGAATGTAAAGTTGTAGCTTGAAACGTCAAAAATTTGTAAAAATAGTAACGTGACACTGAATTCCATCGTTCTGCAGGAAATTCTCCAGCAAGACAATACTTTGTATTGAAATGATCCAAAACCGAAAGTTTCTTGAGATTAAACGGAATTGCATTCGTAAAGTCTTGACTAAAATATGAGATAAACGAGTTTTCATACAATGTAAGATCTTCAAATTCGGGATTTTGTTCCAAACACATTTTCAATCCTGATGGGTCAAGTCCATTGACCGAGAGTATTTTTAATGTACAAACACCGCTTAGAAATTCTCCAGTTATACGTCCACAAATGATATTCAATTTTAAGCATTCAAGACGAGTCAGTAAAAGGATTTCGTTCAATATTGTATTGAAGCCTCCAACTTTTGTGACCTCAAGGTTTGTTAATGATGATGCAAATTTTCTTACGATCGAATTAAAAAGATTGCAATTTGTTGGATTGCAACTTGCGTCAATTTGAATGTTTGCATAATTTCTGGAACTTTTCATAAGTATAAGCATTGAATTTTCTAAATCAAGCTTTAACTTCAACTTTTTCATACAAATCATCGATTTACCGATTTTATGATACCAAAATATTGATACACATGATGCTGTTTTCACGTCTTGTGTCGAGAAATGTTGGAAGATTAATTCAATTGTTTTGTCAGGAATGCATGCAAATGCATCAGTTGTTGATGTGGATGCAAAAAATGTTTCTTCTGACGACGAGGAATAAGAAACGTCACATTTTGGCGAAATTAACGGATGTTTTATTGATGAAATGTCCAAATCATCGTAATAATCAGATGAACAAAGGGATGTTGAATCATTTTTATCATCAAATACAGTTTCGAAGCTTTCATCACTTAAATATTCATTCTTTCTTTTGTTACTGTTTTGTTCATTAGATGATGCTCCTGGCATTTCTATCAATTTGTTGTTCTAGTAGAAGAATGATTGAATATTTAAAATTTAAGGTTGAAAAGGAAGATGTAAAAACAAAAACTTACATTAATTTTAACTACGTTTTAAATTATCCTTGAACAAGGGAGTGCGTTTAACATTTGTTGTTGATCGTTATTTTCAGGCGCAACCACAAATTGTTATACAAATTTTCAAATAGGTAGGTATATTTTATCCTCCTTAGATCTAACGATGCATCGCGAAATTTAGAAACAATATTAATTTATTTTTTACTCAGGTGACGAGTATGATCTAATGATCTAATGAAAGATAGCTAAGATATTGTGAAAATTGTTATAAAGTCATTTCTTTTTTAAAAGCTCTGATCTGCCAGAGTATTAAAATTTATTCTAACGAGGTCAACAGAGGGTTACAATCGTAGATGTTTGAAAAGCTTTACTTGTTAGATATTTAAGATTTTCTTATCTGCTTGTATTACAAAAGATTTAAGTAATGTATTGATGCATAACTCTTTTTATGCATAACTCTCAGAAATGCTTTTTTATAAAGCTTTTCAAAAAGCTTCTACATATTGGTGAAAAAATTTTTAAATACATTTTCATTGGAATATTTAATCACATTTTCCCTTTGTTATGCATTGAATTGTTTTATTATCTTACAATGTTTCAGGATCAAGAATGATCTGAATGTTATTAATTCTGTGCTCTTTCTGCTGCTACGTAGTAGTATGAAAAGAAATTAAAAACAACAGAAAAAAAATCCAGTTTCTTATATTCGCAGATTTTTTACTGAATTTCATTTGAATATTTATAAAATGCTGAAAATTATCAGAAAAATACAGGATTGTAATCAGCGTGAAACGAGAGATTACAAATTATTTAAATTATTGAATTTTTTATTCCATATTTGTCCAAATGTTTCAGATTGTATTTTAATGTCAATTGAAAATATTTGAACTAATTTTCATTTACATCCCTAGCCCTAACACTGGACAGCAACTTACGTTTTTATGCCTCAAAATATTGTGAAGATATTTGTTAAGCTTATTGGATAAAAAGGCATCAGTTGACAGATTCTTTCGTTTAGTCTTTCATTGATTTTTCTATCATTCACAACTGGTATTCGAGCAAAATATTGAAAATCGTTTTACGTCACGATATATACTTACTAAGAGAAAAGAAATATTAAAAAGATTTAGTATTACAAAGGACATTGAATTAAAAGTTATATTTTTTGGTGTTGAGTGACAATGACCACAGAGGTCGAGCAAACAACAAATGACTTGTTGCATTTTACTGGAAGATTTAACCCTACAAAATTAAAGCTCAACAAAGAAGCAAGGAAGAAAAAATTTCTCCGTGCAACATCATTTAACTTTAAATGGAGTATAAAATGCAGTGACTTTTCTTTGAAAACTCATAATCCAATTAGAGCGATTGTTGATGGAATGAAGATTGAACCAAACCAGGATAAGCCAATGATTGCGTTGTCGATCGGTGAGTCGAATATTTTTTTCACAGAAGTTTCGAGAAGCCTCGTGTGGAGCTTTTTAAAAGATGATCATGAGTGAAACTTCGCATTATAAAGTTGAATATTTATGGGTTGTTTGAGTGTAGTGAACATAAATCAGATGACTTTTTAATTTGTTGTCTTTTATTTAAATCAATTTCAATTGAAGTGCTTTTCATAAAGAAAAATTGTTTTTCCAAATTATGACGCAGATAATTTCTTTGTTTGAATTCATTCTTATTTTCTCTGAAATTGAATCTGTTTTAACATTAACTTATTAACATTGATTTCAAGTAACAATAACAAGCGAGCCTCCCGCGTCAAAAAACTCGATTTAAATTCCTTGAGATGTTTACAAGCATCTGCTGAAAACAAGTCACAATTTTTTACTTACCGATTTCAAATCAAGTTGTTTACAGATATGCAAAACGATTAATAAATTCAACAACAGCTTTTATAAACAAAATACTTTCGTCTTTATCGAAAGATCGAGATACTTGCATGCATGTGAAATAAACGGGACATCGTCATTATAAATACAAGTAGAATCAGGTTAAAGCAAAGCTTGATAGTCATCAATAGATTTGAAGCTTGTGAAAAGTGTTAAACTAACATCTTTAAACTTAAATATCACTTTCAAGGTTGAAAGCATTTTTCAAAAGGATCACGAGAAATGTTTTGAAGAGAAAAACCTGTTATATTGCGCATTTATAATTAATATATCGCCCCTTAAGAATGCCACATGTTCTTAGAGAGAAAAACTCGTGATCGAAGACCTAAAGAAGATAACATAATGAATTAATAAGACCGACTTTATATCTGTAAGAAATGCGCTCAAGTCGTAAAATGTAAATGATGATAAACTCGTTTCTTCATCGGAGGTGTGTTGTCTCTGATTTAACTTCTCTTTGCAACACAAATTCTTCTTATTTTTCTTTTCTGATGACGACAATCGAAGGAAAAATAAAAACGTGGAAAACTAGTTTCCGAATTTGACTTTGAAACGACAAAGAAAGCAAAATTTTTGTTTTAATTTTATTTTTTATGTGACTTTCAGGTGATCCGACAACATTTGGAAACTTGCCACCAGCTGATCAAGTTCTTGATGCAATGAAAAGTGTTATTAGTGATGGAAGTTATAACGGTTATGGACCTTCAGTTGGTTTCATTGAAGCACGACAAGCAGTCGCTGAATATTCGCAACATCAAGGCGACATATCAGCAAGCGATGTGATTCTCTGTTCAGGATGTAGTTGTGCTCTTGATTTGTGTATTGCAGCTCTTGCTGGTCCAGGTCAAAACATTCTCATTCCAAAGCCAGGATTTTCTATTTATGCGACTTTAGCTGAAGGCTTTGGAATTGAAGTTCGTTCATATAATTTAATACCGGAAAAGAATTGGGAAATCGATTTAGATCATTTGGAAACTTTAATTGATTTAAAAACAGCTGCTGTTATATTAACTAATCCATCGAATCCTTGTGGAAGTGTTTTCAGCAAACAACACATCCTTGAGATTCTACAAATAGCTGAACGTCATTACGTCCCGATCATTGCTGATGAGATTTATGAGCATTTCGTGTTTCCTGGCAATGAATATTATTCAGTATCGTCATTGTCAAAGAATGTTCCTGTTTTGTCGTGTGGTGGGATTACGAAGAGATTCTTAGTGCCTGGTTGGAGAACTGGATGGATCATCATTCATGACCGACATGGTGCATTTTTGGAAGTTAGAAAAGCGATAACAAACCTGTCGAGCAGAATATTGGGATCGAATTCTCTTGTTCAAGGAGCGTTGCCTGCAATTTTGAAGAACACACCTCAGAAGTTTTATGACGAGTTGGTTGAAACGCTGCAAAATCATGCAAATATTGCTTATCAAATGTTAAAAGAGATACCAGGACTTGTTCCGATTATGCCCAGTGGAGCGATGTACATGATGGTCGGCATTGAAATTGACAGATTTCCTGCTTATAATAATGAACTTGATTTTGTTCAAGATCTCGTTCGTGAACAGAGTGTCTTCTGTTTACCAGGAAAATGCTTCAACATTGATAATTTCATGCGAATTGTTCTCACCGTGCCACGAGACATGATGGTTGAAGCTTGTAATCGAATAAGAGAATTTTGTGAGAAACATTATAAGTCAGACATAGACACGATAGACGAGATTGCAATGAATGATCTCGTGATTTCATGAAAGCATTTTTTGATAATATTTGACAGTATCATGTAAATAAATTAAGAAATTACAATAAAGAATGAAAAGATAGAACTGGAAAGAAATTCTTGAGATCATTGAACTTCAAATAGGCCATGAAATTGAAATGTCTATACAAAAATTGCTACTTCGTTGGCTTCCTTTGTCTGTTTGAAACTTACCTACGTTCATTGTTTCCTTTCGTCAGCATGGATCATGTTACGATGTTAAAAGAGAAAGCGAATCATATAACGAAGCATAGTCTAGAATATTTCATGTAATGTCATTGCATTTCTTCATAAAAATTTAGTTTCGTTTCCAAATTGGATTGTTAAGGTTGATATTTATTTATTGCTGTGTAATCTACTGTAAGGTCACGAAATTTAATCACAATCTCATAGTTTCGAAGTAAAATATTGTGATAGGTCAGAAAGCATGCTGATGTGAATATTTCTTTCATTCAACATAAATTTTCGAACTAAAGAATTGATAAGAAAATTCCAAACATAACTTTGTGGGGAAAGGTCGTGAACTTTTTCTTTTAATCAGTTCATCTTGCTTCGAAATTATCAAACAAATTCATTTCGATTTCAGCTGTGAGTTGTGAAACATTGAAAGAGAAAAAAAATAATTTTAAACGATTAAAAGGTATGCACGCGGAAAAATAATTCAGCAATTAAATAAAACAAAAATTTACAATGGCAAAACAATTACAATGCAGTGAAAAGTCGTGGAAAATCAAAATGACTTCATTCGCAATGAAAACGGAAAATCCATTAAGGAAAATCTGGGAAGGTCATAAAGTGTTTCCAAATCCAAGGAAGGAACAAATAACACTTCAGATTGGTAAGCAAAATTATTAAATGGAATTGAAGAATCGAATTCAGAATTAAACATTTCTTAGGCGACCCAACAGTTTTCGGAAACTTTCCGGCATTTCCTGAAAGTGTCGAAGCTATAAGATCTGCGTTGAATAATGACAACTTTGCCTACACTGTGAGTGCTGGTGGGAAATGTGCAAGACAAGCAGTTGCTGATTATGTTAATAAAAACAACAATGACAACGTAACAAGTGACGATGTTTTTATTACAAATGGATGTTCATGTGCACTTGAGACTTGTTTTCGTGTCTTAATCAATCCTGGAGAAAATATTTTGATTCCAAGTCCAACATGGAACTACACAACTTGGATATCTGGATCGGGAATTGAAGTGCAATTTTATAAATTAAACCCAGACAATGACTGGGAAATTGACTTGGAATATCTCGAGAGTTTAATCAACGAGAAAACAAAAGCAATTCTGGTTAACAACCCGGGAAATCCTTGTGGAAATGTTTTCTCGAAGCAGCATATGTTGGATATTATTAAAATTGCAGAACGTCATTGTCTTCCAATAATTTCCGATGAAGTTTATGAATTTTTTACTTTTCCTGGTGTTAAATATTATTCATTCAGTTCATTGTCCAAGAATGTTCCGATTCTTGCGTGCAGTGGATTAACTAAACGATTCTTAATGCCTGGAATAAGAATGGGTTGGATTGTGATTCATGATCGTAATGATTTGTTTCATAATATTCGTCTGGGCTTAGCAAATGCTGCCGGAAGGAATTTCTGGCCAAATTCAACGGTTCAACTCGCACTGCCAAACATTATCAAAAATACGTCACAAGAATTCTTCGATGACACTTGCAGACGTGTTTATGTAAGTTTCAATCTATCAAACATCAAAATTAACTTGTTGATGTTTGCTGATCCTTCTCGTTTCAGTCACACGCGTTATCAGCTTACAATATTTTGAAAACCATTCATGGATTGAAGCCAATAATGCCCAAGGTAATAATAAACTTTATTCATGATTTATGTAGACATCGTTAAATGTTTGTTATTCAGGGATCAATGTACATGATGGTAGGGATAGAACTTAAAAAGTTTCCTGAGTTTACAACATGTTTGGAGTTCACTCAAGCATTGATCAGGGAACAAAGTGTGGCAACTTTCCCAGGATATCCATGCTTTTATTATCCAGGTATTCAAATTGATTCATAAAAATTACATTAAATTACTTTTTATTACTTTTCTAGGATTTTTCCGAATTGTTTTGACTGTACCGGAAAATTTGATTTCAGAAGCTTGCAAGCGAATAAAAGAATTTTGTGAAGATCACAGAGACAAATGTCCGCTCAAAAAAACTTGACTAAAATGTAAAATTATTAACAATAAATAAAAATAGCTTTTGTTTCAATTCCAATGGAATTTTCACAATTTCTTAGCATTTTTTTCATCTTTTTGCAGAGTGTTAAGTTGATAATCAATTGTTTCATTATTTTAATTTGTTTTTTATTAGTTTATGATATTAAAGTTTACAGTAGTTAGAAATGTGAAAGTGATGCGCTTGTGGTGTAATGGTTAGCATAGTTGCCTTCCAAGCAGTTGATCCTGGTTCGATTCCTGGCAAGCGCACAAAACTTTTTTATATTTTGTTTTATTTGTTTTAATTTAATTAACTATTATGTAAATCATTATTTATTTAATAATGATCAATTAATAATAATCAGCAGATTTATTTAATAAATTTTTTATGCGCGTGAGCTTACACTATTCAAAAATGTAAAATATGACAAAGTTGTTTTCAAAATCTGATCGAAAAAAATGAATCAATGAGAAATTCACAAAATGATAAGCATGACTTACTTTCGAAAAGTTTTCAAGACTGACATCAGCGAAGCCCAAAGCAGTCAAGAATTTCGGTCGTTGAGATCTAATCATGATCAACAACATTTGTTTATTCAATTTAATATCGGTGAAATTTTCCCATCCGCTGAAATAAACTCCTTGGACAATTTCCGAGCTATTGTCCGCCACTTTTTGCCCTTTGTAGCAAAGAAAAAATATTCGACAAAAAATAACACTAAGGTATGATGCAATGTAAACGCTCGTAAAAAGACCTTTCGCAATTAGAAATTGAAACGCAAGTACGCAAATCATCATTGAACCAATGACGAAGTCATACAAAAGCAGAACTCCATAAATTTCCTGCAGTTTGTCTGCATAATTTAGTAGCCTCAAATGATGTTTGATCAGATTTTTCATCTTTTCTTTCATTTCCACCACATCACTTGCTCCCAAATTCATAAAATCAATTCTCAAAATGTCAAACTCCATAGCTAAGACCGTCATCAAAGTATACATCATCGAATCAGTTGAAACGAAGAACGTGATGTAATTCCAATTCATGACAGCCGAAAATAATAAAGCAAAAGGATAATTTCCCGGGTCATATTCATCAAAAGGAAACCAGTACTTCACCATAAGTTCTCTTTTACCGTAAATAAGGTAGGCAATTATCTGAAGTACAAAGGGACCGAATACAGAAGCGTACATTACTGTGAAGATCCGCATTCCTCGAAGATATTCTTTTAAGTGATTTGCAATGCCATATTTAGTGATATCAGTTGCACTTCGTCCATTAGAAAGTATTCCTAATTCTTCACAAATCTCCCAAATTTCATCTCTGCGCCAGTAAGTAATAAAAGATTTCATGATTATCAAAATAGTGGTCGCAGCATCAGGAATGACCATTGTAGCATTTACGAAGTCCTCTGCTTCTATAACTGCATAAGCGATTATTAAAGCTAAACACAACACAAACAAAACCATAAGCACTCTGAAATAAGTTAGGCGTATGTTGTAAAAAAGTTTTTCACGAATACTGGCACTTCTTTCAGGACGAACAAAGCTGAAGAAAATCAACTTGAAGCAAGAAATAGGAAAATTGATGAAAGAATCAAAATTCACTTCATTTTCATCTTCAATGAAAAGACTTTTTAAAACTGCTGCCATTTCTTACAAAGACTTCAAGAAAACTAAAGTCGGTAAGGAAAATAAAAACTTTTCTTTTGTCAACAACATAATTGGGATATGTAAATTTTCCCATGATCAAATTACGATGTTTAATAAATTATCTAGGGTAGTAAGCCAATTACGAATCACCTTTAAATCGTAACCAATTACGAACCATTACTTTCGAACTTAATTTCTCCGCTATTTTAATTATGATAATAACTTTATAGAGAAGTAGAGTAAAGTCCAAAATTCTTTTCTTTAAATTTGTGATTCGTAATTGGCTGAATACCCTCTTTATTATTTATTTTTATCAAACAATAAATATGGCTATCAGTCAGTTCTTTCGGGCTTGATTATAGCTTCGTTTTGATGACTTATTTATCATCCTTTTCATGCTTCTAAAATATTTTAAAAAAATAACATGAATTATTGAAGATAATATGAACTGAATAAATACAATTATTTCGTCAAAAAGCGTGGTTGCGTCAACATAGACACGCACCATACACTTAGAAACCTTCGGGTTTATAAAACTTTTATTAGATTTAAGAAATTTGTGAAAAAAGAATGTAAATTCAATTCAAATGTCAAGTATTATAATATAATAACAACATAACTATAGAATCAAACATTATTATTATCATTCTCAACAAATAAATATTTAAACCTTGAAATTATATGTGAATCTATACAAATATTTATTTAAGTTTTTATCATTTAGTATTTAATCATGGATAACCCTTCCTTGTTTTGATATTTTGTAGACTGGAGAAAGTTCTGTAAAGAAATCACAAATATTATAAAAAATAAAGTAAATAAAACAAGTTTTTCACAATTGACATGATAATGAATTAAACTGTTTATCAAAATATTTATGAGAATGTTTACGTCAAGTTATAAAGTGCCAAAATTCTGCTTCTTCTATTAGTTAGTCGTTGAAAAGGTATTGAACGATAAAGAACAAAATTTTAATATTTTTCATCAAATGAATTTGTTAAGGGTAGTTTTATCAACAATTTTGACAATTATGATGATTGTCCATTTGGCTGAGTCGACGTTTCCATTCACTGTTCGACCGAAAACAAGAAAACCTAAATTATTTTCAAGTCTTAGAGGTGAGAATGACGGTGATGAGAAAAAGTTTAAAATCACTTAAAATTCTTAATAATTTACAGAACATAAAATTGACACAAAACGAGGTGTTTATGGAAGAAGGCGGAACCACAAGAGACATAAAACCGTCGTCTTTGATTATTTCTTCTAAATTTTGAGCCTTTCAAAATATTATTTATTACTTTTGTAAAGTAAATGTATTTACCTGTTTATGGTTCATTTTTATATGTGATACATAACAATAACCAATTTCTCCGCAGCTCGAGAAAATAAATAAAAACTTGTCTTGTTTCTAAAGAAAATTTATGCCGAAGATTTATTCGTGTCGAAATTAACAAGGAAAGAATGGCAAATCAAATATTTTCCATCTGCTTCGCAAATGATTCATTTAACAAGTGAATTCGATTTTTAATAAAAATTTTCCATCACCTTCAGAGTTGTTGTTTGTCATCTGAAACATTTTTACCTAAAGATTATTTAAATTGCTTTAAATTGATGTTTTAATTTATCAATGAATAAAAAGTCCAATTTTGTAATTGAACTGATAATAAAAAAATTTCTGATGATCAACGCGTTACAATGATAGAAAATGAAAAAAAATTATCAATAAGCTGACGCCGATAAACGGTAACATTAATCTGTAAATTATTGTGAAAACCCTGAAGATGAAACTCCATACAATCTCAAGTAGGTATGTGAATTACCAAATTATCACACACAATTCCATTTCAGATTAGAGAACATTTGCAATTCTCGTTTATAGTAAAAATGTTTCTCAAAAATCATACAATCGTGAACGTAACTTGTGAAAACTTCCTTTTCTTTACGTCTCTTTTAAAGTATATAAATTGTTCAACGAGATTTTATAACGCAGTTGGTTTCAACATTCAGAGCGGATAATTATTATGTCAAATACTCAGTGGAATATTAAACCAACATATTTTGGAATTCACACCGTTAATCCTTTAAGAAAATTATGGCAAGAAAGTTATCCGAGTGGAAATCCAAATAAAAGTCATATAGTCCTACAACCTGGTGATCCGACAGCATTTGGAAATTTTCCAACTCATCCTGAATGCATTAAAGCATTGCAAGATGCCGTTGTGAAAGATACATTTTCATATTATGACGTGGCAGGAATTGTTGAAGCACGTGAAGCTGTTGCGAAATATTCAAAGCATATTGAAGATGTCAAAGCAGATGATGTGATACTGACAAGCGGAGTGTCAATGGCTGTAGAAATGTGTATCAAAGTTCTTGTTAATCCAGAAGAAAACATCTTGGTCCCTTCTCCAGGATGGAATTATATTACATACACTGTCGGTGTTGGTATTAAAACGAAGTTTTACAATTTACTGCCGGGGAAAGATTGGGAAATTGATTTGGAACATTTGGAGACAAAGATTGATGAGAAAACAAAAGCAATTCTTATAAATAATCCGGGGAATCCTTGTGGAAATGTCTTCAGTAAAGAACATATTTTAGATATTTTAGAAATTGCTGAACGTCATAAGCTGCCAATAATTTCGGATGAAGTGTATGAGTTCATTACATTCCCTGGAGTTGAATATCATTCTTTCAGTTCATTATCAAAGAATGTTCCGGTTTTTATTTGCAGTGGATTGACTAAACGATTCTTAATGCCTGGAATAAGAATGGGTTGGATCATCTTATGTGATCGTGGCAATAAATTAACAGATCTTCGACCATGTCTGAAGAATATTGAAGGAAGAAATTTCGGCCCAAGCACAGTTGTTCAACTTGCACTTCCAAATATTCTTAAATGCACACCGCAAGAGTTTTTAAATAAAACACCAAAGCAACTTGCTGTAAGTTTCGTTAATAATTTTGTTGTTTATAATTCGTAATTTCCAATCTACAGAAACATGCAAACATCGTAATCAAAATGCTGAAAGATGTTCCAGGCATTCAAACAGTTCCATCAAAAGTAAATTTATCATTTCACAAACAAACGAGAATATTCAAATCTTCATTGCTTGTCATTACAGGGCGCATTCTACATGATGATAAAAATCTCGACAAATCACAAGATAAAGGATTCAAAAACGTTTATGAAGAAACTTGCGAATGAAGAAAGTGTTTATGTCTTCCCTGGTGAATGCTTCCATTGCCCAGGATACTTTCGTATTGTTCTTCTTCCACCAGAAAAAGTTCTTGAAGAAGCTTGCGAACGAATCAAAGAATTTTGTTTGAAACATTATGGAAATATTGATGAAAATTAAAGTCATTAACTCTGGCATTATTTATTTATTATTAAATTTATCTGTTTTTACTTTACAAAGCATTATATCTTCGCACTTGAAAAGAAAATATTGAGATAAAAAAATCTTTTCTTAGTTTACACCAACAAAATTTGTACAAATGTATTGAAATATATTATCTAACTTAGTTTACAGCGTAATATTTTCTAAGAATTGTATCTAATGAATGTGATGTTTAGAAAACAATTTCTGGGAATTTGCAGAAAAAAGTGTTTGAATAGCGTTTAGAAATGATTTGATAAATAATTTCGCGTGATGAATGTTTTCAAGTTGATTGATCAAATACATTTAATGAAAGTGAGAGTGAAGTGCTTTTGTGACTCGTCAGAATTGTATTCTTATCTTGTTACGATTTCAGTTACTTATATCGAATACACATGCAGATTAAATTACATTTAAAGATTTACGGAGGCCCCACCCTAGGGTGACGGGCAACCGTATTGGATTTACGCAAAAATTTCAAAAATTTTTCTTTGCTTAGTTACACTTAAAATGGCTTGAAACGTCGAGAAAAGTGGAAAAAAACGAAAAAAAAATTTCTGTCCGCTTTCGGGTCTGTGGGGATGGATGGATGGATGTAGCTCTGTAGACACTCGCATTTCTACATTTCTTAACCGATTTGGAAAATTTCTTTACCAAAGTGTTTTAAATACAAATAGAAAGTTTCTATCAAATTATGGGGTGTGTACCTTTGATATTTCGGGTACCTGCCATACAAAGTTGCCCTTTTAATAGCGAAAAAAAAAAAACATTGCTAGCGAAAAAAAAAAAAATTCCCAC